ATATGGCGTCTTCCCTCACAATCAAGAGGTGAGGAATATATGGCGTCTTCCCATATGTGGCCCCATTTTCTTGTATTTGTTCGTTCAGATTCAAGAGCCCCGTTGTCATGTATTAAGGTAGAAGGAAAATGTCATGTTGAAACAAATCAATTATCTTGATAATGAAAAAAAATCTTTTATGCTTTTTGTGTCAAATATGATATATTTTTTCACATTATTTTCAAATAAATAACGTGTCTATCTGTCACGTACGTTGTCAATATTAGTGCAACTGGCTGTATTGATGACAAAGAAATGTTTGTTTTTATATGGAAGACTGGAGTGATTTATATTAGGAAGAAGCCCTTAGACGATATGTCTTCGAGATTCTTGCTGAATATAAGAGGTAGGTGGTTTTCTTCCACTTCTTTGTACACTGTAATTACCAGCTTTCTTTTAACCCTTGTCGGACTGCATAATTACAAATAAGTATAAACCTACTCTAGGTAAGATTGCAATGCTTCAAAATTAGGATTCAAATAAATTGGTTGATGATGAGTGGGCAGGGTGGCCCAGTGGTTACAGTTCAGAGTACCAGGATTGGCGCAGAGAGGCGCGGGTTCGATCCCAGCTCTGTGCGCCAGTTTCTGGTCAGAATCGGCAAGGAGGCCGGGCGGTTAAGCACAGCAGAATTGTAGCAGTGCGTTGCGAGTTCGAGACCGCAACAAGCTGTGAATGTTCTGCGATGTTAAGAATCGGCGACAGGCCTATGGCCTAATAAACGCTGAAACCGCTATTATTATTATTATATTTATTATTATGACCTTTGCGTAAATTTATGATATGCTTGTAACATTTTCTTTGTATGACACAGGCACTGGTCGGTCTTAGCAAAACCCTGCTACAAGAGCAGCTTGCGGTGTTGGATGTCAGCCGAGACCAGCACGCTGTCAACAGCCCCTTGCTGCACCTGCACAATTCTGCAGGTCAGTGCAGGGATGGTAGCCTGCATGCCCTCAGAGAATGAGTGAGACGTTGTCCTAATAGCGATGCATTTTTTACCCTTTATATGGGTCATCCTTGCCCAGTTTGGCTCAACATAAAGGCTTATCAATATTACGTGCAAAAAGTGTAGCGTGTCTCTATTTAGACAACCTTTTTTTTCTTAATTATTTTACTAACCATTCAAGCTCTAATTTATTGATCAAATTCAAGATATTGTTCAGTATTTTATGTATATTATACTGTGATCCATGATAATCACTGGTTTACTTATAGTAAGCACTAGGGAAATCGACAAAAACTCTCGCATTTGCAGCTATGTTGGAAGGTGATCCGTGGGACAAGGTTAATTCCTTTTAGTCAAATGATGTTGAAACAACGTTGAGTACCAGTTGATTTCGTAAAAGCAATATTGATTACAACTTGATTTCATTTAAACCAAATTTACTACGACTTGATTTCATTGAAACAATCTTTTACTGCGTCAGTTACCAAGGGGAATTTTACCTTTTAGCGGTTTGTATCGTTTCAATGCACTTCGATACGAATACCATTGACCATGGCTGCTGCAGTCTTTGCCTGCGGATTATATGTAATTTTTAATATTTCAAACACAAGCATTTCCCTGAGGTCAGGAACATTATTTTTCACACAATAAAAAGTGTCCAACGTTGCCTTATGAAAAGACCACTCTCTATCTTCGCCACTCGCAATCAACGGTCTCAAAAGGGCTTCTGGAGACAGTCAAGTCTCTATATATTATTGTATTAGTCGCGTACGGCGTCAGAGTTAAGGAAATAACAATGTGCTAATTTTGCCTGCCGCCAGTTATTGTACTGTTGTTGCCATGTTTTTTTGAGATTCAAAAACTGGTCTATTAACCAGATTTTTCCAAAACAGACACAGAAGAAAAATAGCTACTTTATTATTGGCTTTATTATTTGATGTTTTATGATACGATCATGTTTTCAGTAGCTCCCCTCTTAATTACTTGATATTTTATCATAAAGATGTTTTCAGTAGCTCTCCTCTTAATTACTTAATATTTTATCATAAAGATGATGTTTTCAGTAGCTCTCCTCTTAATTACTTAATATTTTATCAAATATTTTATCATAAAGATGATGTTTTCAGTAGCTCCCCTCTTAATTACTTAATATTTTATCATAAAGATGATGTTTTCAGTGTCGGTGCAGCGCATGGCTGAGGTGTGCGAGCAGCAGCTGGCGCCTCTATGCGCCGTAGTCGCCAGCCGCGTCCAGCATCTTGCCGAGGACAACGATAACCTCGATGACCACATCAATTATCTCACTGAACTTCTACATGATCACCACTTCGATTTCAAACTGCAAATTTAGTTTAAAGTTTATGATTTCTAGGAGGTTTTGATATTTATGATGTGTCTAGGTGGTTGTGACCTTATGAACTTTATTGGGATATTAATTTTTGATTAGATAATTTGTGATTTTCTAAATAACGAAAAACTTGAAGCTGTATCAGTAGAATAAATCTTGGTCAATAATATCGAAAAAAAATTGACAGTATTGCAAGTGGTTGCCTATTATATTAACTATTCTTGAAACTATTTCGTTATCGGAGATTTTATATTTGAAAATGAGCTTATTTAACACGTTTAAATTTTGTAACAAACTTCCTAATGTATGTGCCTCACTCAATTGACTTTTTTCTACTTAAACTTGGCGGTATGGATCGAATACCAACTTTTACCGAAGGTAAAGGTTATTTAATCTCAACTATATAATTGTGATGAGATAATGACCATTATTAACTATGTACGTATATGGTTGTGACGAAAAATGTTTTCTAACACGCCCTGTGCACTCATCCTTTGGTTAAGTCGACTTCGGCGCAATTTCAAGGTTTAAACTGCATTTGTATTGCGATATAATAATCAAGATAAGTAACGTATTGATCCATTCGTAATCTCTCATCTGGATGGCATTAATTTATTATGCTTAGTCGTTTTTTTCTAGTCGGAATAATTTCTAAGTCGGTCGTGCATCTAAGTTTCAAGAATCTTATGTTTGTGGTAACGTTCTTGATGCACACAAATGCAAGACGAAAAAAAAAACAACAAAAAGATACAGAACCAAGATACGAGATACAGAAAAGATACGTATTTATACAGAGCCAAGATACGAGATCATAAAAATGTGCCATTATTATTGAAACTATCAAAACTATTATTGCCATAAAAACGCATATGAAAAAATTAGATATATTAATATAGGCTGCAGCTCCTTGAATTCGCTCGTGCGCTAGAAACCTGGCGTCTTAAGCTTGATAATATAACATTAGGAGTAAATGTCTGAACTGCAACAAGGATCAAATTAAGTAATTAAGTTTTAAGTAACGGGCGCATATATATGAGGTATCAGCGCAACTGCTTCGGACAACGTATTCTTTTGAATTGCCTTATCTTTTTGTTGTTTTTTCCGTTGTTTCAGCGTTCATTTTATATTCCGTTATTTATTATGTTTTTTGGTTATAGTAGGGAAATTTTTCCGTTTATTTTAGCGTAAGCCTGATTTCGATGTTTTTCGATACCTCTGTAGAAATGTCAAAGATCGTTTGTTCGACAATATATTGATATTTTTCGATGACTTTAATCTTCAATAACCTTATTATTTTGATGATGCACTGATTAGGATACAATAGTTAGGTGATATCGCGTTTACGGACCTACGGTAGCTTTAGTTCTCAAAGCACTAAACCGAGCTTTAGTTCTCAATACACTAGACATTCCATGCACCTAGTTATCTCCAATAACTACTCTTATTCCTCAGTCTTGCTGAATATGAAACGTGCTCCAGTCGTTTTGCCCAGCGTTTTAATTTTTTTATAAGAATTGGCGGCGAAATCTTATACCAGTTATACAATCGTGTATGACTAGTATAAGGTTGACCCATCAGAAGCCTATTTTTAGCGCATTTTCTCATTTATAGAAAAAATGCACTATTGTGCTCGCCATGTCCGTCTGTCCGTCCGTCTGTCTGTCCGTCTGTCCGTCCGTCCGTGACCTCAAGTTTTCGCTGACGAGAAAATGCGCTCTCAGTCACTCACTGCAGTGAGTACCGAGTTATATTTTTGCGGATGTAGCTCATTGTTCGCCTGTGACGTCACTGATCTCAGTGACGTCACAGGCATTAACCAATCACCGAAATGCGATCAAACCAGTCAACCAATCCGTCGTGGGAATGACGGGATTGTTTACGTTTCTCGATCTCAGCGACGTAACAAGAAAGCTGAACTGAAAGACGAAAATCCTCGTGGGTGAACCTTATATAGTTCACCCATGCCAGGTCTATGAACCTGGACCGTGCCAGGTTCATAAGCTACTTGAACTACTCGTATGAATTTTGACGAGGTTTTATATTAATTACATACTTTTTATACTAAATAAGTTGGTACGATTCCTACTATAGAGCAATGATATTTGTGACGTTCATATGAATATATAACATAACCGATGGCGTATTTAAATGATGACAAACTCTATGGTGAGAAATCTATCACTTTCTTTGCCCTGTAACGATTTATGAAAAATACTTATGAAGCACTCAGATGCTGACTAGCACTCAGATGCTCACTAGCACTCAGATGCTGACTAGCACTAACAGTCACTACTAGTCGGTGTGTATAGAGGGTAGAGTCTGGTAGATTTTTAGGACATAAAAGTAGTGGATCTATTGATAGTGCTGTGCACTGTGCAATCAGCTACCTATCTGTTATGTGACTCTTCAATGTTTAGCAGATCTGCATTCCTGAAGTGTTTTTGTATATTGAAGCCAGTTAAATGGTCAATATTTAGCTCATTACCTTGCTCCATACAAACTTAACAAAGCTAATGAATAGACATAGTACCAATAATTGTTTACTCAAAAATCCCTAAGTGGTAAACACCACCTTGGCCTGTTGGCCATTATTGAAGGCAATAAGTGCCCTTATTAGCCATCCATTATGATCCATATACTGTTATTGTTAGCAAGCTAATTGCAACATAAAAAATAACACATCAAAAAGACAAAAAAGTTGAAAAAATTAAAAAAATCAAATAAATCATGAAAAAAATCAAAAAAATCATTGATTTTTGATTTTTTTGATTTAAAAAAAAAAATAAAAAAAATCGCCAACCCTGCATCTACATCATCTACAAAGGAAGAGGAGGACTTACTTTGGAGTACTGTTAGTAATGGATGAGTACACTTTGCATGCTTCAAACTTTCTACAATAAAAGACGAGGCCTTCAGAGTACTGTTAGTAATGGATGAGTACACTTTGCATGCTTCAAACGTTTTACAATTGTTTTATTTCAAGTGTCCTAAATTACCTCATTTCCTGGGGTAATTTGTGATGCTTTTCTTTTGTGCCTGGCACCTTACAAATAGCATATGGATTTTTTTGGAGATGGTGAGATGCCATACAGTAGCTCTTGTAAAGACCTTAAAATGAGCTCAAAGCTCAAACTCATTTATGAAATGTTTCATGGTAAAAAGTTATCAACAAAAAATGCTCAAAATTGTCCCTTATTACAGTACCCCATTTGTTTTGATGGTACGTACATAAAATTTCTACTGGAGGTTAGAGTCAGCCTGGCAACTGGAAATTAAATTGAATATACTATATATACATTAGCAACTAGTATCATGTTGATGATAGATATTAACCAATATTAACTTCTTTAAAGTTGATGTTTTGAAATCAGTACATACAAAAGTTCAGATATAATAAATGTAAAATATTGATAGAATTTTAAACCCTGAATAGGCTGTAAAATGAATTAGTATATATCTGTGTAAAAGTTGTATCAAGATGCTGTTTATAGCAAAATGCTATTTATATTCACATTGTATACAGCACTGCAGACAAGTTATGTTTCTTTTCGGCAAAATTTTATATCTTGAACAAGTCTAGGATAAAGTTCAAACTAATTCTTTTCTAGATGGAACACACCACTATCAATACCAATTAAGGAGTCACTGCACTTATGTTGCCAGTCTCAAAGAGAAAGGATTCTATGATAGTTTATTAATGATATTATGTACTTGATGCTAGAGAATACCTATTACCATTTGACAATCATTTTCAATTACAGGAATGCATAAAGTTTCTGAAGTTGTGCTCTCACATGATGCGTACATGGTGTGTATGCAGCATGTGCATACCACTGATGGAGAGGAGGTTATGGGGCTGCTAGTGGGAAGCTACATCCAAGTAAGTGTCTTTTCTAATAAATTATTTATATTATGTTCATGCAGCTCAAATTTTGAGTTTCATTTAATAAAGATTTACAAAAATATATTAATTTAATAAATTTGCTGGCAATCCTTACTTATGTACCGTATCCCTATTAGCTGGGTGCACTACAACTATTTGTAACATCATACCAAATAGCAAGTGTTCTTGGACTTCTTGCACCATCCACAAATGGTGAAGGCAGAGTTTTAATTTGTCATTTTATTTCACCTGAGAATACAAATGTCAAGAATAGTTGCATTTCCACTTGATGTACTGCATGTTATTAATTAAAAACATTTTGTTCATAATGATTGCCATAAAATTATTTGTGTTTGAATAACTGAGACAGTGTTAAGGCTTGAGCAATCTTTCAACCTAGTTTTTCTATCATATTTTCATTTTTTGTTTTTGTTTAACTTATTAAACACCTTGAAACCTTATTGAAAACATTTGCAACTTCTGTATTGTTGTTTCTTGTATGGAAACATTTATGAAAATCTATAGCCTAGGCTCTGATGGCCTGTTACATTGATTTTTACCATGCATTGATTTTCAATATACCAGAATTCTTTGAGTTACATTGAATATTGAAATATTATTAATGATCAGGTGATTCTAATTTTTTTTCATTCTATCAGTCAGAGAGTGATGAAGAAAAGGATGAGCAGAATGTGACGTGTGATGTCACCCATGCTGTCATTCTGCGCAGGTCGGACAAGAGAAAAGACCGTGTAGAAATCCCTCCTGAGATGCTCATCCAAGTAAGTCAATGTGTTTGACATTTGTAGGAAGAGTAAATAGATTGATGTTTTGGTATATATTCACAGCCTTCATTTATAAATATAGGCAGACTTGATTGATTGTGGGCGAGATATGTTGCTATGATTGCATTGTTATAAAACATTGTAGAATGTGGATTTGAATGTATAGTAGATGCTATTCATATCTAAGCACTAAGTGCTTGAGGTGAACTCTTAAAAAGCTTCAAATCTTGAAATTAAAGTTAAAGTGGAGGTTATTAAAAATTAGAAACTTATAATTTATCAACAGAATTTATTAGAATTAGTTATATTGTAAAATTATATAGAGAATTTAATTTTTGTTCAATTTTGTCTGCTAAATAATGATGGAGAATTCATCTTCAAAAATAATATTGAGAAGGAATGCTAACTTGAACATGTCATTGTGCATTGACTGATATCCATTTTTGCATTAAAGGCTCAGCAGAAAGCTGAAGAGATAAGCAAAACCAGCAAGACAAGCGTCAACATAGTTGGATGGTATCATTCCCACCCGAAGATTACCGTGGCACCTTCTGCTGTAGGTGAGAAATTCAAACCTGTTAACTTTCATGAATTCTTCCTATTGTGTCTTCTTATTTGCACATTGTCCTATGATTTGAAAATATTTCTAATTATTAGTCGGTTGTGGAATCAATGGACAGAAGTCAGGAACAAAAGAGATATGTTTGAGTACCATAGCAGTATGTTATCAAGGTTGATTTACACAACATTTAACATGGTCAGAAATATTCTAGAATGTTCAGTGCCATCTATAAATTTTCATTTGAAGAGTTGTCTGAAAAGTAGAAACTAAGTGAGTCTTTTATCACAATTGAACTTCAATAGATGTAATTTTTTTATATATTATAACAAGAGTTTGGTATCCATTCAGTTTTTTTATATAAATGATGGACTAACTCCAACAAAGCTTGCTGATTTTATGGACTAAAAATGATGCTACTTCTTGTGTGGCCCAGCAGCCTGAGTGTAGAAGCTCGTTTCTATTGTAAGAGAGATCTGACGGTAATCTTACAAATCTTTCTTATATTATAAAAGAGATCTGAAAGTAATCTTACAAATGCTTCTGATATTGTAAGAGAGATCTGAAGTTAATTTTGCAAATGCTTCTGATATTTGCTGTTTAGATTGGTTCAGTAAATTATTGTCCTATACATAATTCAAAGCAATATTGATTTTTTTTGTATATAATATTTTTTTTTTATCAGACCTGCAAACACAAATGGGTTATCAGCAAATGGACCACCGTTTTGTTGGGGTCATATTCTCTGTCTTCAACAAGCAAGAAGCCAGCAAAGTAAGTAATTTTTACTAAAGTACCATAAGCAAGTAATTTTGTTAAAAAAAGTAATTTCTTGATACTTTTTAGCGCATTTTCTCATTTATGGGAAAAAAGCCGCAGGGCTCGTCATATCCGTCCGTCTGTCTGTCCGTCTGTGTGTCTGCCTGTCCGTCCGTGACTTGACGTTTTCGTTGACGAGAAAATGCGCTCTGTCACTCACTGCAGTGAGAACTGAGTTATATTTTTTTAATGGCAGCCTAATAGGAAAGATGCCTTTGGATATTTACATTGAGAATTGTATATATAGGTTTATTTGCTTAAAATTATTCCCTGGAAATCTTTGTGGCGTTTCCTTTTGCTTTAAAGTCTCCATGGCAATGCTTTCAACTTGCATTGTCGTCTCCAGTCCAAAATTATTTGATTGATGCATTTTATGGATCCATTTACAATAAATCATTTGTTACTCTCTTACCTTTGAATTCACTTTCATTGTAAATGAAACAACTGAATAAAGATCCATATATAATCTGCACACTTCTTCTCATATTAAACAATGTTTATTGTCTCATATTAAACAATGTTGATTGTCTCATATTAAACTATGTTTATTGTCTCATATTAAACAATGTTTATTGTCTTATATTAAACAATGTTTATTGGTTTCCTAGATCGGCAAGGTAGTTATTGGAGGCTTCCAGGCAGCGGAGTCCCCGCACGGAGGAGATTGTGAGCGCATCGACTTGCCCGTCACCATCCGGCCTGGAGGTGGCGTCTTCCCTCACAATCAAGAGGTGAGGTATGGCGTCTTCCCTCACAATCAAGAGGTGAGGAATATATCTGTCTCTTATACACATCTAGATGTGTATAAGAGACAGGATGCTCACTAGCACTCAGATGCTCACTAGCACTCAGATGCTCACTAGCACTCAGATGCTGACTAGCACTCAGATGCTGACTAGCACTTAGATGCTCACTAGCACTCAGATGCTCACTAGCACTCAGATGCTGACTAGCCACTCAGATGCTGACTAGCACTTAGATGCTCACTAGCACTCAGATGCTGACTAGCACTCAGATGCTCACTAGCACTCAGATGCCCACTAGCACTCAGATGCTCACTAGCACTCAGATGCTCGCTAGCACTCAGATGCTGACTAGCACTCAGATGCTCACTAGCACTCAGATGCTCACTAGCACTCAGATGCTCACTAGCACTCAGATGCCCACTAGCACTCAGATGCCCACTAGCACTCAGATGCTCACTAGCACTCAGATGCTCACTAGCACTCAGATGCTCACTAGCACTCAGATGCTCACTAGCATTCCACCCAATAGTTGCGGCTAACTTTAATCTTCATAACGGGAAGTTCTTCCTTGGAAACACGAAATGTTTGAGGGATAAAAATTTCATTCTATAATAAAGCTTCAAGTTCTCTAAAATTTCAAGTTGTCCTTTGAAGTTTGCATCTTTTGTTCATTGGTTTACGATTTGAACACCAATGCCCTTCCCCCCTTAATTATCATCGAAAGTTTTTTCTTTTTATCAACGCGCGAGATGGTTTCCCCATTATCATCGAGATGGTTTGTATTGTTTGTTTCAAGCACTTCCTATTTCCTTCTCCAATTTATGGACATATAACTTTTGCTTCAACCTGACCCACGCAAAACAAAAAAAAAAAAAAAAAAAAAACAAAAAAAACTAGAAAATAAATACGTCGAAAAATCGTGCATACGATTTTAAAAATTTATCCCTGCAATTTTTGCACGTTTCTACAAACATTTCATGTTTCCGAGGCATCTTAATACAAAGATTTTTCCAACACCATTCAAATACTTTCATATGTATTTCTACAGATTTTTTTTGTTTTGCCTGGGTCATTGTGAAGCAAAAGTTTAAAAATATTCATAAAAATTCATACTATACAGTTAAAAGTGTAGTATTCATAAAAATTTAATTCAGTGAAAGGGTGAAGCCTGATCTGAATGTATAAGTATTAGTTTATTCACAGAGCATAATTGTAATATGTTTTCTGAATGAACTCCGCCGACTCTCTCTAGGCACCGCAACGCATGTTAGATTTTCGTTTTCGACCGCAGCGGCGGTGGTGGTGCGGTGCCACTAGGAAAATTGGAGAAAAAACAAGAGGTGGCACAGAGTGGCCAGAAAGAGGAAGGAGAAAAGGAAATAACAGTAGAAGACGAAATAGGCGCAATGCGCATAACTTGGTTGAGTTTTGGTGCTTTGGGTTTTTCTTGGGGTTGGGGGGGGGGAGTTACCCGTCAGTGCTTTGGATGGTAATCGTGGACCATCGGTGCTCCTCTTTTAATTGTTGAATATTTTTATGTTTGTAAAATTTTTTTTTTGGGGGGGGGGAAGGGGTTGATGATATGATGGATAGATGGATGAGGGTTATGATGGATGATGGTGACGATGATTATGAAGATTGCTCGATATTAACGTTCGATTTGAATGAAGCTTGATAGTAACTTCATTTTGCTTTTGTCTTATTAAAATTAAGTCTCGTCTTTACTGTGCGTAACACTCGGTGACATTCGTTAGTCCGTCGGCGTGATGGTGTCTTTGACGGTGTGTAATGTTTTGGGGCCAGCCACCCCCTGGCGTGATCATTTACACCTACCGCCCGGGTGCAGCATGGTCCGCTGTGTATTTATGTGTATAGTGGTGGGGTGGGGGACCTAATGCTAGTGTTCTGGAGCTCTTAAATGACGGGTGTTGTCTAGCAGTGGCTTCTGGGGGGTATAATTAGTTGATTGAAGAGCTGGGGGTCGTAGGTTTTGACAGCCGGTGGACCATGTTTTACGTGCTTGGTGGTAGAGGACTGTGTTTATGGTGGGGATATCAAATTGCTCGTGAAGTATTTTTGAGGGTATGAAATCTGACCAGTGTGTATTGGAGATGAATTTTAGGGCCTTGTTTTGGATTTTCTGCTGTTGTGATATTGATGTCTTGGATGTGGTGTGAAGAACTTCTATCCATCAAAGGAGATACCGCATCAGCCAAGCACACCGCTTTATATAAGAGCCACTCGGCAAAAGCCCAGGTAAAAGGGACTGTTTTCCGCTGCGTAGACACGTTGCTTGCCGACCAGTTTTTACCACCATTCTGAATCTCGATCACGTCGGCAGGATACTCGACTCTCTCGCATCTTGTCTATATAAGTAGACCTATTACTATTACTACATAATTCTAATCGCAGTCACTATTACTGTGAAATTTCGTCAACGATTCACCATGGCTCGTACCAAGCAGACCGCTCGTAAATCTACTGGAGGCAAGGCTCCACGCAAGCAGCTTGCCACCAAGGCTGCTCGCAAGTCTGCCCCCGCCACTGGAGGCGTCAAGAAACCCCACAGATACAGGCCCGGGACCGTGGCTCTGCGTGAAATTAGGCGCTACCAGAAGAGCACTGAGCTGCTCATCCGCAAGTTGCCTTTCCAGAGGCTCGTCCGTGAAATCGCCCAAGATTTCAAGACTGACTTGCGTTTCCAATCTTCGGCCGTGATGGCTCTTCAAGAGGCTTCTGAGGCTTACCTCGTGGGTCTTTTCGAAGATACAAACCTGTGTGCCATCCACGCCAAGCGTGTCACTATCATGCCCAAGGATATCCAGCTTGCTCGCCGCATCCGTGGAGAACGTGCCTAAGTCAAAGTACGAATTGGCAGAGAAAGAGCTTAACCAGACGCTCTAGAGGAAAACCAGGCTCTATCAAGGGCCACTCAATTGCTTAAGAAATTATATTCAACTTTCAGGCAAATTTACATATTCTCAGAAGTGGCAGTGCGCCGCGCTCTAGATTAGGTCAAGAGTTAGTAAATGGTCAAATTAAGTTCATAGTCAAAAAGAATTTGTTCGAATTTAGTATTCAAATTCGAACTTGTTGTGTGATGTCTACGGATATCACACAGCGCATTTCACTGAGGGGGCTAGAGCTTGATACCTCGATCTTGTCACAACACATATAAGACCACAGCGAGAATCCTCGCAGGTCAGGTCTAGTTCACCTACTTTTAGAGCACAGTAAACGAACCTTTCCTGACCAGACCTAACCTTGAGGTCCCTCGCTTTCACGTGCAGCAGAGGACAACGCCTCTGCCACACACACAGCCCTCCGGCGGATGGCACGACACCGTCGGGGGCTAGAGCCTGTCTCTTATACACATCTAGATGTGTATAAGAGACAGTTGCTAAATCTTGCTTAATCTTACTAAATCTTGCTAAATCTCGCTAAATCTTGCTAAATCTTGCTGAATCTTGCAAAATCTTGCTACATCTTGCTAAATCTTGCTAAATCTTGCAAATTCTTGCCTAATCTTTCTAAATCTTGCGTAATCTTGCTAAATCTTGCTAAATCTTGCTAAATCTTGCTTAATCTTGCTAAATCTTGCTAAATCTTTTTTAATCTTGCTTAATCTTGCAAAATCTTGCCTAATCTTGCTAAATCTTGCTTAATCTTTCTAAATCTTGCTTAACCTTGCTAAATCTTGCTTAATCTTGCTAAATCTTGCTAAATCTTGCAAAATCTTGCAAAATCTTGCTTAATCTTGCTAAATCTTGCTAAATCTTGCTAAATCTTGCAAAATCTTGCAAAATCTTGCTTAAACTTGCTAAAACATGCCAAATCTTGCTTAATCTTGCTAAATCTTGCTAAATCTTTCTAAATCTTGCTAAATCTTGCTTAATCTTGCTAAATCTTGCTACATCTTTTTTAATCTTGCTAAATCTTTCTAAATCTTGCTAAATCTTGCTTAATCTTGCTAAATCTTGCTACATCTTTTTTAATCTTGCCAAATCTTGCTAAACCTTGCTAAATCTAGCTTAATCTTGCTAAATCTTGCTAAATTTTACTAAATTTTGCTAAATGCGTGCGGCGTCTTTTTTTTCTAAATCTCAATAGAAAACTGCTCACAAAAAATAATTTCAATCAGTAACTTTTGTAGAATTTTGTCTTGGAATCCTGGTCACACCTGGTCTGGGATGGTTAGGGTTGGTCTCGGAAACGCGGAAATCGGGTTTAAAAATGATTTAGCAATTTAGGGAAAATCTGTGGAACGATACAGTAAATTTGAAGGAAACGTTTTTACAGTGCTAGGAAAAGCGAGTGAAAGTTCAAGAGAAATGTCATGGTAATAATTTAGGTTTATGCGTGAATGAAAGACGCGTTCATGAAACCATATAGTTTTATTAAAACAAAGAATGCTTAGTTAATTGCTGTGTAGAAACTAGCGAATTTATGGTGCAAGACGCGTTTATTTCGTGTACATAGTGAAGCGCATAAAACGGGCTATTAGAAGTGAAATTTTTTTCTGCTTTCGCTTAAGAACGGTTCTGCTGCGAAGTATTTTTGGAAAGCTATGTTAATGAAAACACGAGTAAAATTTCGTGACGACAATTGTGGCTCCAAGAGGAGCCGAGTTCATATTATTAGTAGCCACCTTGCGCGATCAAGTTACTTTGAAGAGGTGTATTTGGTAACAGCCTTGGTGCCTTCTGATACGGCGTGCTTGGCCAGCTCTCCAGGAAGCAGCAGCCTGACGGCGGTCTGAATTTCCCGGGAGGTGATGGTAGTTCTCTTGTTGTACTGAGCCAGACGCGATGCCTCGGTTGCAATGCTGTCTCTTATACACATCTAGATGTGTATAAGAGACAGTGCTAAACCTTGCTTAATCTTGCTAAATCTTGCAAAATCTTGCTTTATCTTGTTAAATCTTTCTTAATCTTGCTAAGTCTTGCTAACCCTTGCTAAATCTTGCTTAATCTTGCTAAATCTTGCTAAATCTTTTTTAATCTTGCTAAATCTTTCTTAATCTTGCTAAGTCTTGCTAACCCTTGCTAAATCTTGCTTAATCTTGCTAAATCTTGCTAAATCTTGCTGAATCTTGCTAAATCTTGTAATATCTTGCTTAATCTTGCTAAATCTTTCTAAATCTTGCTACACCTTGATAAATCTTGCTTATTCATGCTAAATCTTGCTTAATCTTGCTTAATATTGCTAAATATTGCAAAATCTTGCCTAATCTTGCTTAATCTTGCTTAATCTTGCTAAATCTTGCTAAATCTTGCTTAATCTTACTAAATCTTGCTAAATCTTTTTCAATCTTGCTAAATCTTGCTAAATCTTGCTAAATCTTTTTTAATCTTGCTAAATCTTGCTGAATCTTGCTAAATCTTGCAATATCTTGCTTAATTTTGCTAAATCTTGCTAAATCTTGCTAAATCTTGTTTAATCTTGCCAAATATTGCTAAATCTTGCTAAATCTTGCAGAATCTTTCTTAATCTTACTAAATCTTGCTTAATCTTGCTAAATCTTGCTAAATCTTGCAGAATCTTTCTTAATCTTACTAAATCTTGCTTAATCTTGCTAAATCTTGCTAAATCTTGCTAAATCTTGCTAAATCTTGTTTAATCTTGCCAAATATTGCTAAATCTTGCAAAATCTTGCTAAATCTTGCTAAATCTTACAAAATCTTGCTTAAAAATCTTGCTTAATCTTGCTAAATCTTGCTAAATCTTGCTAAACCTTGGTAAATCTTGCTTATTCTTGCTAAATCTTGCTTAATCTTGCTAAATCTTGCTAAATCTAGATGTGTATAAGAGACAGGAGCTACGCCATCTACATCTACAGGGTACTGGCAAGTCCACCCTGACACTGGTGTCTCGAGCAAGGCCATGTCAATCATGAATTCGTTCGTCAATGACATTTTTGAACGCATTGCAACCGAGGCATTGCGTCTGGCTCAGTACAACAAGAGAACTACCATCATCTCCCGGGAAATTCAGACCGCCGTCAGACTGCTGCTTCCTGGAGAGCTGGCCAAGCACGCCGTATCAGAAGGCACCAAGGCTGTTACCAAGTACACCTCTTCAAAGTAACTTGATCGCAAAGTGGTTGATAACATTACTAACCCGGCTCCTCTTGGAGCCACAATTGCCATAAATTTTATCCGTGTTTTCATAACTTTATACTTAAAAAAATAACTTCGAGGCAAAACCGTTCCTAAGCGAAAGCAGAAATGAATTTCGCTTCTAAAGATGCTAATTTTCTATTATGTTTCTTGTTTTTCATTTCGTACGCGAAATCAACGTGCCCTGCCCCATTAATTCGCTAATTTCCACAAAAATTTACTAAGCATTCCTAGATTTATTAATAATTAAAATTATTCAATTAATATTATTCATGAACGTGAAGTTCATTCACACGAAAACCTAACTTAGCATCACGTTTCTCATCAAACTTTCCCTCGCCTCTAAAATTTAAGACACTTTTTCTTTGAATTTACCATGATGACGGTTTGCCTGTCAATATTCCTGGTCTTGCAATAACTTTCATTCAATCAATACCTTGTTAACATGCCAGAAAAATTGCAGGGGTTGCTCGATGCCACTTTTTTGTTACGACGCAATCAAGAATATTCAGAGTTGGCATTTGCTATCAGTTCATTAATCGCCTAATACTTTAATCAAAAGTAATTCATGAATCAGCACTTAAGGCCCAATATACTAAAAGTTTGATTATTAATCGACGTCAGTATGCATTACTACATGAACAAATGTTGTAATAATTGTCTCAATCCCACAACAAACTTAATGTTTGGACTGCATCCCGTATACATTTTCACATAAAGTTACATTAGTAGTAGTAGAGTGTCAATAATTTTAATAATTACTTTTCAACAGTTTGCCCCAGTGACCAAGTAATCATTGCTATTATAAAGACAACTTATTTGCTTGAGATCGCTTGTTAACAACCGCTTGTGTTGTTTTGACCACTACAATAGTAGGAATGTGCGAGCTTGAGGCTTCCATCTCGAGCTTGTGTCATAAACCAATTTGTGGTCAAGCGCGGGGACGCCCAGCAAACAAAAGACGGAATGGAGCCATAAAACCAATTGAACTGAAGTCCACTGATTGAATTGTTAGCTTTACTAGTTAGTTTTCTTTCATATGTGGGAAGATGACAACATATATAAATTAAAAATTTTGAATTTCATGAAATAAATATATAAAGAAAAATGTATATGAGACAAATTGCAATGTTATACGCAGTAAAATATTAAAATGAGTCTAAAAATATATTACACTGTGTCTAATTTCTTATAGGTAAAGTTCATTAAACATTTAATATTCGTAATTTGATTCTATCACTTCATTAAAAAAACTTAGAACTAACATTTAATAAACGTTTCCAATTATGAACTGTTTTGACTGTCCCGATTTTCCATTGTTACGAGAAGCAGTAAATGCATGTATGGATGGTCAGTTCATCCAGTGCACTACAATGTCCGCGGTCGTAAACCTTAATGACATCTCGTACACGTACGAGCTTGATGTCTGATCCCAACACCGGCATTCGTTTACGTCAAGAAAAAATTGAGAATAATCAATATTTAGAACCACATCCCATTACTTTGAAATAATAAATAGCACAATGCATTTTAAACACAAGTCCAACAATTTATGAGTGAAACATTTCAGAGCAGAAACCTATCAGTCTTGACCAACTGGACACTTCTGGCTCAAAGTCATAAACTGGATCTCTACTTTTCTTTAGCCGCTTTTCGAGACCTCGATTGCATCGAGACCTCGTTCGATTGCATTTCATTTGCATTTTGAAATAAATTTTCATTTATATAGTGTCTACAATTTTAGTGATTAATTTTCATAAGAATCTCAATCAAAATTAACGGTTACCAAA